CTGGGGATGCTCGTGTGGATTGGATGTGGGGCATGGAAGTGCGCCATAGGATCCATGGGGGGCTGGAGGTGTGGGGTGGAGATGGGGTTTTGGGGGGCTGGGGGCATGCCCATGTGGGGGGGCGGGAGGTGGAGTGTCTGGGAAGTGTATGTGTGAGATGAGGGGATGGCGGTGCTGGGGGTCTGGAGGCCTCCCCTCCCCGTGGGGGATATATGGGAGTTTGGGGGGAGAGGGGGTTGAACTTGTTTGTGGGGGACACAGACAATGTGTGTGTGGATGCATATGGGGCACCATGAATGGGGGGCGCCTGAACAGGTGGTGGGGGGCTCTCCCCTCCCCCCAGTAGATTTCCTGTCCCCGTGTGCTATGGTAAATCTCTAAGTTACGTCTCTGTCTGTTTCAAGCAAACCCTGGAGGCCAGGCATGGCTGAGCCTGCCCCGTCCTCCCCGTGATTCTGAATCTCCCAGTTCTCCTTCCTCGCCAGCCTCCGCCCCGTGCCGGGGGGACAGACTCCCCACCATGAACTGTGTGCGGAAGCTGCTCCTGGCCCGAGAGTTCTCCGCCGGACGAGGCGTCCTGCGGCAAGCCGCTCCGGGGAGGGATCTCCCATGGCTGCAGGGAAGCAGCTGTGGCCAGGTACCAGCCGTCCTTCAGCGGGGCAGCAGGCCGGGCACCACGCGAAAGACAAAGTCCACGTGGGCCCGGCCCCGAGCAGCTCCCAGTCCAAAGGAAACCGGCTCAGGGCAGATGGGCAGCTCTGTGGAGTAAGCCCCAGGGAGGGGATTGTGCATCTTTAAAAACCTCTCTTCCTTCTTATTGTTTGGTTGCCCAAAATTTGCTGCCCAGAGGGATCTGATTTCGAGAGGGGCTGAGGACCTACCACCGCTCCCGTTTGTCGTAATCCGAGGGGCGGGGAAAGAGGGGCAGCAGGCACCTGTTCATACGAGTGGTACCGCAGTGGATCGGTCCGGTGGACAGGAGGGGCTGCTGGGAAGTAGTCTGAGACCTAGCGGTTTCATTGCACACAGGCTGCTAAGCAGCTGTTAGATGGTACCAGTCACTGCTGGCCTGCAACCTGGCATCCAGTGCCCGTGAGCAAGGGGAATGGAATGGCGCTGTAGAGTGTGGGACTGATATCTAGGGCCTTGCCCCACTGAGAGGGCTCTAATCACCAGGTAACATGACAGCTGCTAAAGGCCCCGTTTGTATCCAATTCTCTGTTAGCGCTTCTGGCTGGTGCCTGTGCGGAGCATCCGGAGCGGCGCTGCCCTGAGCCGTTTCGAGCTCGTCCCCTCGGCAAGGGGGGACAAGGAGAAAGACAGGGGGCCCCGTGATGGGTCCCTGGTGCCCTTAGATGAGCTCTTCGAGCTGGCCCACGAGGGAGACAGGAACAAGGCCGCCTTCAGCCGAGCGCTGGAGCTCTTCTGCCAGAGAGACGTCCGGCGGCGAGGTCACGTCGAGTTCATCAACATCGCCCTCAGGAAGATGCCGGAGTTTGGGGTGGAGCGGGAGCTCGACGTCTATAACAAGATCCTGGACGTCTTCCCCAAGGAAGTGTTCGTGCCCCGCAACTACATCCAGAGGATGTTCAACCACTACCCGAGGCAGCAGGAATGTGGGATCCGCGTCTTGGAGCAGATGGAGAGCTATGGTAGGGGTGGGGGGTGCCTAAACACCCATAGCAGCAGTGTGGGCTAGTGGTTAGGGCTGGGAGGAGTGGGAGTCAGGACTCCTGGGTTCTCCCCCCAGGACTCCCCGTCTGAACTGGGCAAGTCGCTTAACCCCTCTGTCCCTTAGCCTCTGCGGTGAGGGCCGGTGAATGCGTCTCTTACCCGCCTCTCCTCCCTCGTATGCGCAGGCATCACGCCCAACAAGCAGACGAAATTCCTGCTGCTCCAGATCTTTGGCGAGAAGAGCCATCCCGTTCGCAAATACCGGCGGCTCATGTACTGGTTCCCCAAATTCAAGCATGTCAACCCCTACCCGGTCCCGGCGGCCCTCCCCCGAGACCCCGTTGACCTCGCCAGGATCAGCCTGCAGCGGATCGCCGCGGACCTGAGCGCCAAGGTCACGGTCTATCAGGTAACGAAAGGCGCTCGGCTGTAGCGCGTTGCCTGTCGCCATGGGAGTGACCGACTCTCGCGCACCGGGGTGTGAGCGCCGCGGGAGAAGGGACGCTAACGCGCCAGGGCCTCTTGCCGCACAGCGGTGGAGTCCCAGAAAGAGTAGCTGGCTGCCGCTGCTGGAGGCAAAGCTCGCTCTGGTCAGCTCGAACGACCCCTAGCACAGCCCGATGCAGAGGAGAAGGTGCTTGCAGCAACCGGGGCATGGAGCACCCTCGAGACTATTCTATGCGCCAAGGAATTTACTCCTCTGTTACCTGGGGCTTGGTCCCCAGCTTGGGCAGGGGGCCCGGCCTCTTGGGTTGAACAGCCTGCTGGGCTGTATTGAACTGGGGCAGTGGGTCAGGGATCCCACGCGCGTGAAGGATGCTGTCTCTAACGAAGGTGTCTTCATCCCCGCAGATGCCTCTGGTGGATATTTCGGATGCCGGAAAAGAGATCACCCAACCGCACATCGTAGGTACGGGATGCCCCAGACAACCTTGCCTTTGACTGGCCGGTGCTGGATTATGTGGGAGCGAAAAGTCTCTAGCCTGTTGTCTGTCGCCTTTGGAGCCTTAGCTAGAGGGGACGTCAGCACAGAGAGCATACGGTCCTTCGAGCTGCTGGCTGGAAGCAGCCCATGTGGCTCGCAATTTCTAAGCCCCACGCAACCCTGGACAGACTGGGGGGGGCATTCGGGTTGGGTATGGGGACGTCTCTCTAGCCCCATTGACGTGGATTTGCTCACCTTCCTTATAGCCTCGCCTCTAACCCTTCCTTCCCCCGTTAAATAATGACTCTGCTCCAGCACTGAGGAGCCCAGTGTCTTTAGAGACGCTAACGAGCTACGCCTCTCTGTAGAGCATCGCATCCCGCTCTTGCATCTGGGGTAACAGATGTGCAGCTTGGGAGTCCTGGCTGTCGATCACAAGCCCAGCTCCTAGATAGGAATCGCACGGCTCCTGCTCCGGAGAGCTTCCCCACCTGGGGTGCTTTGGCTTGGTGCGACGGCCGTTCAGCGCAGAGCCATTGGATTGGGTTTGTTCTCTCCCCGGGTGGCTAATCCTTGATTTGTGGCGTGTGTGGTTTCCCCTCCCTTTAGGAATCCAGAGCCCCGATCAGCAGGAGATCCTGGCTCATCACAATCCGTCCAGGCCCGTGTTTGTCGAGGGCCCCTTCCCCTTGTGGCTGAAGAAGACGTGTGTTTATTATTATGTACTCCGGGGAGAGCTGCTACCGCCTGAAGAAAAGGTAAAGAAGGGTCTTGCCTCCCTGCGCAGGGCTGGGGCTGTCAGCAGCGTGCTGCGGGCTCTGGGGAGGAGGGTCTGTATTTCCAGGCTGTTTTCCTGCATTGCGAACTCCATGGAGTTGGTGCTGGTTTGGTGACTGACATGAGTCACTCTGGAAATGCTGTAAGTCTTGTGGAGGAGGGGCAGGGGCTGGCTCATGGGGTGTGGGGAATGGGCTATGGGGGCTTTTCCCCTATAGGGGGCGCTGTCTCTGACCCAGACCCCAGCATGGGGACTGGCTGGCTCAGGGGAGTCAAGAGACAAATATGGGGCTTTCCCCTCTCGGGGGCACCAGTTCTATTCCCTCCTGCTTTGGTGGAGACCAATAATTACCTCCACCTGACAGCCATTCATGGGCCTGCACATAATGAGTTTGCCAGGTCTCAGCTCATTGCTAGCTGGGCTGGGGAACATATCGTCGAAACCACCAGCACAATCTGCAGTGGCCAGGCCCCTCCCCAACAACCTTGCTGCAGAGGCCGAGATCCCCCTCTTCCACCTAGGGGGTCTGTTCAGGGCGGGCTCAGGGATTTCGGGCAGGAAGTTCGCTCTGCAGATACACTGGACTGCCATTCTCTGGAAATCCAGGGGCCGCACAAGCTGAAGAGTGGCCTTGTCTTGTCCAAGGAGGGCAGAGAGATGCTTGTGGCTCAGGGGTGCTGGTTAGCCAGTGGGTGAGGTAGAGGTGTTTGGAGGGGTATTTATTCCCCCTGTATAAATATCTTTCACCCCTCCCCCTTAGGAAGAGGTGATTGACTCCGAGAGGAACTTCTTCTACCCCATGCACCTCGACCTGGACCTGGATCGGGGCCCGTGGGACGACGAGGAGTTTGACGTGGATGAAGGTAACGCACGTGGGGCTGGGCTGCTGAGGTGGGGGCGCATTTAGAGCAAATCAAATCTACTGGGATGGTCGGGCAACAGAGAGCCAGAGCAGCTGGCAGTGAAACAGAAATAGATCCCAGAAATAGATCCATCCCTCTGGAGGCTGTTCCAGAGGCTAACGGATATCTCTGTCTTCATTCGCCCTAAACCTACTGCCTCTGAATGCCTAACTCCACCCCTTAACCAAAGCCACTCCCCCTTGGTATAAGCTTCCAAGGCTTGTAATATTTTGCTGTCAACCTCTAAGTGGCCAATTCAAATCCAGGCCTGATCAGCATTGGATGAAGGTTACTGTCACAGTTAAGTCCCTATCCTAATCCAGAGCTTCTGAGAGAGGTCTGCAAGGACTGTATAAACTAGCCCTGGCACAATTTATAAGAGCGATCACAGGATAAGAAGAATGATCTTTTCCCTCCCCCTCTTATCTCTATATCTGATCCCCCAAGAAAGAAAGTATTAAGGTCACTTAGATCAGCAAATACTTTTCTTCCCTACCTGAATACGTTAAATCAGAACTCCTCTGCAGCAGGATACAGTAGTGACTTCTGTTCTAAGCGGCTGTGTGGCAGCTGTTGTGTTCTGCCCCAGAGGTGGCCGCATTTCAATGCCGGGTGAAAAAAATAGTTCCTGGATGTGTGGACTTTGCACCGGGGACCTGAAGTCCTTGACAGACAAGCCGCCTCCCTCCTGAGGGTGGAGGATTATTGTTGTTCGGTGAATTGACAGTTTTCTTGTGGAGGGAGGGGCAGAGGTGAGATTAGGACCCCAAGAATCCTGATTTCCAGTCACCCTGCTGTCACTACTGGAGTCCACTGCTCCATTGTACTGTAGGCAAAGTGTTGTGGGGTTTGTTAATATTGACGCTGCTTCTGTTCTTTCTGACCTGTCCCCTGCAGCGGTGGAAGGCCCCATCTTTGCCATGTGCATGGCCGGGGCAGGAGACCAGGCCACTTTGGCCAAGTGGATTTTGGGCCTGCAGCAAACCAATCCCATTTTGAGTCAGACGCCGGTTGTGTTCCACCTCACGCCGGGGCCCCGAGAGCTCCAGGCGGGCTCGGACTCGGCGAGCGGCGAGGAGGAGATCCCGCAAAGTTGGCACGCGAAGCAAGAACTTTAAACCTGTCTCCGTTTCGTCTCCTTCCTTGGGGATTGTTTAGCTGCATGCGGCTCCCTCCCTGCCTTGCTGATCGAGCAGATGGGCCAGAGGGAATCTGCTTCAGCAGCCACCGGGCATAGGAATGGATCCGTCCTTTCAATCAGTCTAAGCCACTTTTAGTAGAGTCCCATGTAATGGGGCTGCTGTGAATATCTGCCTCCCCCCCCATGCTTCTAGCATTAAGGACTGTACTGGGTATGGGATGAATGCGCTTAGTTGCTAGACAATTTGGTGTAGTAGCGTCACGTTTGGACCTGATCATTGTTCTGGATGGTCTCTGATCGCGGCAGTGGGAGCCCAGAGCCTCCTGAGTTGTAATCCCAGCTCCTATTAAACCAATGCCCCTGGCCGTGGAGCAGCGACGTTATTAAAAAGCCTTCAGCACTTTCCGAAGAAGGCAGGGAACGAGTCCTGTCCTGGCCCTGCTGGCCCTTCTCCATGGAACGGGGGCAGGTCAACATTACAACATGGCTTTGTGCAGTGGGGGCGGGAGCCGCCTAGGAGAGCCTGCCTCGGTTCCCTATACCTTCTGCTGAAGCCGCTCTGAAAACTAGCCAGGAGCTGGCCTGACAGGGGGTGTTCAGACTCTGCTCTGGCTGAGGGGACTGGGAGGGTGCTGCTGCTGCTGATCACAGAGCAGCTACTTGCTGGGGGGGGTCGTGACTGGGCTGAGCTGCATCCACCCAGCTCGTCAGCTAGTCAAGTCCAGCTGGGCATGGGAACCGCATGGGTGGAGGGACTGTGCGCTGGCTGGGCCCTGGTGGTGGGGGTTCTCCTGTGCGGGGGAGCATGGTGGGTGGACTGTCCAAGCCCTGGCTGGGTCTAGGGATGGGGTGTGTGGGGGTGTGTGTGTGTGCGCGCACGCCTGTCCATCCTGGGGGCTGGGTGTAAGCATGTGGGATCATGATGGATAGAGCAGCCCTGTGCTGGTTGGGCCATGGGGGGACCTGTCCTGGGGGGCTGGGCCCAAGCGTGCAGGGGAGGGGGGTGGGTGGAGTGGTTGGGCTGGCTGGCAGGGGTGTGTGTTGGCCTGTCTGTCCGGAGGTTTGAGTGGAATGGTTGTGTATGGGCTGGGGCCTGTCCTGTGGAGGTGGGCCCAGGTGGGGGAACGTGATGGGGGGAGGGCCTGGGTGCTAGCTGGGCCCTGGTGGTGGGGGTTGGTCCTGTGGGGGTGGGCCCAGGCGGAGGGGGAACGTGATGGGTGGAGGGGGTGGGTGCTAGCTGGACCCTGGTGGTGGGGGTCTGTCCTGTGGGGCTGGGCCCCAGGAGGGGGAATGTGGAGGGGCTGGGTGCTAGCTGGGCCCTGGTGGTGGGGGTCGGTCCTGTGGGGCTGGGCCCCAGGAGGGGGAACGTGATGGGGGGAGGGGCTGGGTGCTAGCTGGGCCCTGGTGGTGGGGGTTGGTCCTGTGGGGCTGGGCCCCAGGAGGGGGAACGTGGATGGGGGGAGGGCTGGGTGCTAGCTGGGCCCTGGTGGTGGGGGTTGGTCCTGTGGGGCTGGGCCCCAGGAGGGGGTGGGGGGAGGGGTTGGGCACTAGCTGGGCCCTGGTGGTGGGGGTTGGTCCTGTGGGGCTGGGCCCCAGGAGGGGCTGGGTGGAGAGGGCGGGTGTCTGCCCGGGGGGGGTTGCCCCTGGGGGCGGTTGGGGGTCTGGCTCCGCAGGGGCTGCCCTCCCTGGGGGATCACAGACAGGCACCCACGGCTGGGGCGCATGCGCAAGGGATCTCGCGGGGGGGGGGGATGGAGGGAGACAATCTCAAGCGCATGCGCAAAAAGAGCTCAGGCGCTCGTATCACTGTGGGCATGTTGAGGGCGGAGCCTCGCTGGAGAGGGGCTCCTGCGCCCTGAACCAATCTCCCGGCGCAGGCGCAGTGCGGACCCGACCGGCGCTGGGTGCGCATGCTCAGAGCTCAATCAGCTGAGCACGCGCGCCGCCGGCGGATGCGACTTTTCTCGCGGAGCAGCGAGGGGGCGGAAACAGGAAGCGGGTCGCGGGCCGGTGACGTCACTGCCCCTGCGCCGGGCTCCTCCGAGACCCCCGACAACGGGCTGCGCGGCGCGGCCGGCTGGCTGGGGATGAGCGAGGCGCAGCGGGGCCC